CCAACGTCAAGGCAGTTCTACTGTATGGAGCTGAAACTTGAAGAACTACTACAACCATCATCAAGAAGGTACAAGTATTTATAAATAGCTGTCTTCGCAAAATACTCAACATCCATTGGCCGGATACCATCAACAACAGCCTTCTGTGGGAGAGAACAAATCAGCTTCCAGCTGAAGAAGAAATTAGGAAAAGACGATGGAAATGGATAGGACATACATTACGCGAATCATCAAACTGCATCACGAGACAAGCCCTAACTTGGAATCCTAAAGGGAAGCGGAAAAGAGGAAGGCCAAAGAATACATTACGTCGGATAATAGAAGCAGATATGAAAAGGATGAATAGGAACTGGAAGGAGCTGGAAAGGATTGCCCAGGACAGAGTTGGATGGAGAATGCTGGTGAGCGGCCTATGCTCCTTCACGAGGAGTAACAGGCGTAAGTAAGTAAGTAAGTAATTTAATCTAATAAAATTTACTGATAGCCTTACTGTGCTATACCAATGTGTGAACAGAGCAATTTCCCACTTAACTCTTTAATGTCGGTAATCTGATCTTTGAAATATTACAGGTTGTAAGCAGCTAAAGAGAAACAAACAACATACAGTCAATTCATGCTCTTCTGCTCAAATATTTTTTGCACCCTCCAGTTTGCAAGAGTTTTTTCGACCCATAAACCTTTGTCGTATGTTTTAATGCTCCAGAGTTCTAATTGATTACTTGTTTCCCCATTGCTTCGGTTTCGCATTACTTGTGATTGAGTGGCGTCAGTCAGTCAGTCAGCTACAACGTAGGACCAGGCACATATATGCATCGGTTCAAGTTGCCATGCCTCGTTAACACAACAAGATGGACACCGGATTCATAAAAGTAATTAATTCAATGGTGGTAATATATAAAGAAAAGATTGCAATAAGGATATAGTATAGGAAGAAAGAATTAGTTAGCAGAAAGAAAGATATGAAGCAATTTTAATCTCTTAGTTTAAGGGAAGACAGAGAGTGTATACACCTGCTCCACTGTGATCGATTCTGAGCCATGTCACCAAGAGTCTCCAACTATTGGTTACGATAGTCACGCGGACCCCAACTAAGTAGTCTGCATCTACCAACATGGCTCACACTAGAAGTTAGTGACTTCAAGCACTGATACCACGTTTTGGTTTGGCCGCCCCTTACTTTCTTCCAACCATCTCCAACACCGGTTAGCATTGCACGTCGTGGTAATCGGTGTTCAGGCATACGTAACACGTGGCCCAACCATCTCAGTTGATGAAGATCCACAACCTCATCAACTGATTTACCATCATTTCCTAATACCCTGCGTCTAACATCACTATTACTCACCCGGTGATCCCAGCAGATGCCAGCAATATTTCTAAGGCATCTGTGGTCAAATACTAATAGCTTACGAGTGTCTTCTACTCTTAATGGTCATGTTTCGCTGCCGTAAAGTAAAACAGAACGAACTGCTGCGCAGTATACCCGTCCTTTTGTTGATAGACGGATATCTCGCCTTCGCCAAAGGTGACGTAAGTTGGCAAAAGCCAAACAAGCTTTTCGAATCTGTGCTGAGTGAAGTTGTCAACGCGTTCGACTACTTCACTCCCTATCCTTAGTTCAGGTGTTGACGCAGACCAATCCTGAAGCAACAACTTGCATTTAGAGGGAGAGAATCGCATCCCAAACATTCTGGCATTGTTGCTTAGTGCTACCAGAAGACTCTGCATTTTGTCAGCGTCTTCACCAAACAGGACTATGTCATCTGCGTATTATAAGTCGATAAGTGGACCTCCTGGATGGAGATCAATACCCGAGAATTCAGTCGACGAGAATGTTATTTCCATCAATAGGTCTATGATGAAGTTAAACAAAAATGGAGAAAGTGGACAGCCTTGATGGACATCACTTGAGGTTGCAAAAGCAGACGACAGTTCGCCATAAGCTCTGACTCGACTAGTAGTGTTCGAGTAAAGAGCCTTCACAAGGTTTATGTACTTCTGAGGTACGTCTTTCAGTGACAGACACTGACACAGAATCTCGCGGTCTGCGGAGTCAAATGCTGCTTTTAAGTAAAGAAAGACCACCATTGTCGGACACCGATAAGTATGCCAGTGTTCTAAAACCTGACGAATGGTGAGTGTGTGGTCGATGCAGCCACGACTAGGTCTGAAGCCAGCTTGAGTCTCTCGTGTTTTCAGTTCACGAGTCTTAGTTAGGCGTCTGATAATTATCGAGGCTAGTATTTTAGATACTATATTTGTTAAACTAATCCCTCTGTGGTTGTCACAGGATAATTTTAACCCTACCTTATATATTGGGACGATAAGTTATTGTGACCAGTTAGATGGGATAACGTCCAACTACCAAATCTTAGCTGAAATATTAGTCAACCTAATCGCTAAAATTAGACCACCATCCCTAAAGACCTCTAGAGCCAATCCATTTGGACCAGCTGCCCTTCCTCGTTTCAGATTAACTATAGCCTTTTGAACTTCTGCTAGAGTTGGGTGACCTACTTCAATGTTCCATTCACACTGTCTGGGAATGGAGGGTAGTTGTCGAGTAGCTGAAGGCCAGTTGAACTGTTCTCTAACATGTTCCGCCCATCGTTCTAAACGTCTGGACTGGGAGCAGACGAGAGTATCGTCTTTTTCCGAAATAGTCTGACTTACACTTGACTTATTAATTCCAGTTTCTTTTATTAATCTGTAGAGCTGTCTTGTGTTCCCTATAGTCGCCGCCTTTTCCATCTCTTTTGCTTTCGTTGTCCACCATTGCTCACGGCCGTTCCTTAGACTTTTGGTTAACCTAGATCTGATTTGTTTTCGCTCTTCATCGTGTTCAGAGCCTGATGGGATGAGTTTACGAGAATCCATCAGTGCAATAGACCTTGGTTCTTTGTAACTCTGTAGTTTAAATCATTGATAGATGTCACTGCTGTTTCCACAGCTGTTTGTACAGCTTTCCAAGCAACATCTGGGTCAACCTTGTTTTCAGAACTACCTAATTGTGACCTCAGTTGTTCCTGGAACCTACTTTTGGTTTTCTCGCTACTCAATTCAGTTCTAATGGGTCTTTTTACTGTGGCTTTTTTGCGTCCAGTGAGGCGCAAGTAGATGCGTGCCCGTATTAGGGCGTGGTCGGAGTCCAAGCAGGTACTCCAGAATGAGCGACAATCTTCTACCGACCCTCTCCAACGATGACTGATGGCAATATGGTCTATTTGAGTCCATCGTTGGTTTGGTGCAGGCGGTCTCCATGTTAGACGATGTCTTTCCTTATGCTTAAAATTTGTGTTTGCTAAAAATAAACGATTGTCTGAGCACAATTGCAGCAGACGACCACCACATTATGTGTTTATTGTGCCGGAATACTAAAATACCCACCTAAATACCTTTCTGTTTGGTTTAAACTACTTATCTGGGCATTAAAGTCACCTGCTACAATTACTATGTCTGAACGTTTAGCTTTCTGAAGAAGTTCAGATAGCTTTCTGTAAAAGTCATATTTCACTTCATCTGAGCTGCAGTCGGTGGGAGCGTAGGCAGAAACGACAAAAAGGCAACGACGTGTGTCCCCATCCTTCCGAGTTCTTACGGAGCCGTTTAACCGAACAGCACATAAACGACTGTTAACGGGGATTCACTCTAACAGTGCTTGTTCCGCCCTCATGCTTAGTGCTATCCCTACTCCTGTCAGTCCACGAGAACTGGCCGTCGGGTTACCAGAGACACGGAGGGTGTATCTCGTTGGTTCTCCGTGTTGCAAAGGTGAGGTCAAGTGAATGACCACACTGTAATCCTGTATGCGTGTTTCGGAGACACAGCATACATCAATGGTACGAGATTCTAGGGTTCTAGCCAAGGAAGCCTGTTGACCGATTAAGGATAGGGTGTGTACGTTGAAGGCTCCAATGTGTAGTTTGGAGCGAGGTTTCAGTAGACCTGGGACAATGTTTTGAGCACTAGAATCGTTGGCTATGGTGACACTTGAGGGGGAAGCCGAAAAAGGAAGTTTAGAGGTGAAAGTCGATGTAGGAGGAGTAATAGGAAGTGAAGACGGAGGTTGATTATGAATACAGTGGTCTTGAGTGCTGTTAAAGGTATGAGGGCGGTTATCACTTCCCGGTTGCCCACACCGTGGAAGGGTTCTTCTGGAGGTACCTGAAAAGGAAATTGGATTAGAGGTGGTCTTAGTGACCTGGAAGCGTGACCGCAGTGCCCAAGGGACAACTGCTTGAGGTCGGTCACACATGACCTTTTCATGTGTAATTTTTGTGTTAGCTCCGTACTTGTTGAGACCTTACCGCCGGAGACGGATATCCGTGGGATAACGCGAGGTGTGCATTTTTAGGGTCGACCTTTTCTAACCCCACCCCTCCTTGTGGGAAGGCAGCATCGCTGTCATGCTGGTTGTCTGAAGGAAACACCTTACTGCTGTCACACCTCTGTACAGTCAGCAGTACGACTTCGCCTTCGGACCTTGGGTTTGTTGCTTTTAGTCTTACCGCTCTTCAACCGACCTGTCTGACATGGCAGGACCTTGAGGAACGGTTGTTCCAGCCAGTACAGCTCGGTTGTTTCATCACGATAGGCAAGCCGAGTTGCGTATACATCGTAATTTTTGGTTTCTATTCGGTATGTTCCTTCGAGTATATTACTGCATGGATTTCGAGTCATGATTGGATAGAGTACGACAGAGAATTAATCGGCTTGATACCTCCGTTTTCTGATTGGAGAACGGGTGAGAAGAAGCTCGAAGACTAACGGCAATTAGGGTCTTGATTGTTACTAAATGAACCCCGTGTCATTCGGTAAATAAAAGGTCACCAATGTTACAAATAATTTAGACAAATTACTCAGTAATAGGACTAGAAAATACACATATTCTCATAATAAAGGCACAATCATGTGGACCTTTGTGCAAATCAAGAACCTGTTTATTTGACTTTTATAACATAGATACACTCGAAAAACGATTATACACGAAAAAAGCCTACCGAGGTAAAAAAGCCCATGTATAATATTTTAATAATTTCGGTCCATTTGTCACTTGAGTAATAAGCAGTGGTAGAATCACTTCAAGCGGTAAAAGTAGGACCCCAATGAAAACAAGTTTCTCTCTTGGTAGACCTTGTTCGATTAGCTTTAGTCCAGATATCGCATCTGCAGGACAGAAGCAAACCTAATTATAAAAATACAAATAAATACCTTGAATTAGGTCTAAAATCACATAAATAACAATGTACACAAACGGGCAAAAGTACACCGACAACTAATGTCTGAAATACTAAGTTTTTGTAAATTAAACATTTGGTACAGATGCGAAAAAAAAACATTACTTGCTCAATTATTTATTTTTAAAATGTGTTGGTGGCAATATCTACAAACCTGATACTTAAGGTGAAAAAACAACTACTACATGGACAGTTTCTCAAATGAGTTTAAGCGACGTCCTATAAGTTTTGTCAGATAACAAACAGATTTCCAGTTATTCCTATTAGCGTTTATGGCATGTACATTTGATGATTATTTTGTGGAGTATTTACTGAGATATTCAGTAAGTCATCATTGTTTAACATTCGATATGTGTCTAAATTAAGTCGGAGGTAAAGCTAATGATTACAGTGCTCTAAAAAATGTAGTCAACCGAGAGTGTGAACGCTGCAAGATGTTAGCTTCAAATTTAATGAGTTCTATAGATAGACTGAGGGTGTAGCGATAAGGTTACCACTTGGTCCACTTCTAGCTAGCTGTTTTTATTGCCAATCTCGAAATCATTATCTTGCAACTAATAATTGACAGTCTCTTCCCATAAAAAAGACATTTAGACGATACTTTTATTATTTGTGACAAAAATATTAGTTTTAACGACGTCATGGACACGTATAATAATTTCTATCAATCACTTAAGTTCGTGATGGAATCGAAGTCATATCTAAAGGAAAAGCTCCCGCTTTAGGCTAACAGTTTACTCGCTCACATAGAACAGGTTATATTGCCCGCTCGTTCAAAGCGCATCTAACATCATCTTACCTGGCTATATAAAAGATTGCGAAAGTCAATCAAAAGCTCAGTTTTGGGACGTCTAGTTAATTTTGGACATTCTGCTTCACCAGAACAGTTTTTCAAAATCATTCATACATACAAATATACAGCAGAGGCTATAACTAACTATCCAATAATTCAACACTAACATTTGTGTATAGAAACAGTATGTTCCATCCTTCAATCCTATGATGGCTTTAATCATCATTTCTATCACAGTCTATAGTTTTTCTTCTACTTCCAGTACTTTTCATAACTATTAATTATTTATTATTAAGAATTTTAATTCGCTGTTGGATTATTGACTAGCTTCCCTTCTATATCTGATTTTTGTAAACAATTTACGACACGATGCCAATTCAATTTTTTAACATTCTATTGCAATACGGACTGTCGTTTCTAGCAAACGAATTATCGATAAATACGATTATAAAGTCTAAGTAAGTGAAATTTTCAAAAACAAAATTTTCTTCGCTCAGTCGTCTTTACTCTTCTTCGAAGACACAGGGCTCTTTCGTTATTTACGAAAGTTTATAGTAGATACACTGAATCCTAGATCATAATAACTGCTTGTGACATTTGGAATGCTTTTTCCGGTACTGCTGTGATGTGTAGTAAGTTGAGCTAGTATGGAGCATTAACGTAAAAAAAAAAGAATTAGTAAATAAATCTTTTTCCAACATAGGACAGAAATCAGTACTACAAGAAAAAATTCTTTGATTTGTTGACCTCGAATTTCGTGAGACAAGATCAAATACAAACCAATGTATATATAATTACTTACCTTGGCAATGAATAATAACAATATGTATTGTAAAATAGGCTTCAATTTACAAATACCTAACATAAAACGATAGGTATCAAATAATGACAATTCTTTGTTTGACTTAGTTACATTCAGTTCTTCATCGGGAGGAATTTCAATAATACGACTCCAACCACTGGGAGTACGTGAACGACTTCGAGTGGATTCACAACTAATTTGTTTATCAATTGTATTTGTTTGTGCGATACGATTTCTAGACGATAACTGTCCTTCGATATTTCCTGTTTGATTTAAACAGGCTACCGAACCATTTGAATGATTATCAAGTTGATTAGAATGAGCAGATGATGTAACGGACAGATTATGAGGTACTTCCTTCTTAAAAACTCCAACAAGTGTGGTTGCCACCAGGAATACAATACCCCAAAAATAAAGAAAACCTATTTTAAGAAATAATACAATGCACATAAGCACGGTTTACTGTGATCCCAGGTAAATAGAATGAAGTTAAATTTTAAAGTAAAATGCATCATTTTTTATGAAAACTCATTAACTAAAATCAAAATAAAACAACTGAGTTTATAAATTGAATCAAAGCAACTAATCTAAGCAACAGGATGATTATTTTCATTCGAGTTTTAACAAAAGAAACAAATGTGTCACACTATCGAATTTCATCAAACTAGCATAACGATAAACTATGCATCTATTTTGAGATCTGTGATGTAATCAAGCAGATAAAAGTTAGTAGGATTATTTTAGTTAAAAGAAATCTTGACTTGCACTAAACTTTTCTGAATCAACAGCTCATAGCGATAAAACTGTAGTGTCGGTTACTATGTTAAGCTCAGATAACTTATTCTAGCTTCTGGACAGACTAATTTATTCATTCTTCTTGATCCACGTTTTGAACTTGTCAACCTTGACCGCTTTTATATGAGCGTGTGTGCATTTCTTATTCTACACAACATGTTTGTAACCTATTTTTCTGTGACTATAAATATCGATTCACACTTGATTAAATCGAGTTGGCTTTTTTCTCTTCTCCATTGAGCGTCATCTTGTTTTGCTTCGCTTTCTAATCGACGATTATACGAAATATACGTATTCAAAAATGCATTTCCGTATTTGACTTATTTGATTCGCTTATTCAGCAACGCGACTTAATTTGATGATTATATACGAGGATTGGCGACGTGTATATTTTAATAACAATCACTCAAACGATCTAGCTTGAGTTAGATACCAAGCCACTAAAAAACAACTTATAAACTGCTCACGTAAAGTATCTGGCTGGTATGGGCAAATTTTATGGTCGAATAGTTATTTATAGAGTAAAACTTCAAGTTCAATAATGTGTATCGTAGGATTGCTTTAATTTAGTTGATAAAACTTATAGAATGGTTTTAATGGTATGACATTAATTAATCAATATGCATCAATGTTCGTCATATAAAAATAAATAAGTATTAAACTAAATCTAACCTGAAAAAGTAATCAGCCCTTCACCTTCAACAGGAGTCAATCGTATATACTTATTAGAAATATCTGGTGATTCTAAACACATGAGGACGACAAACGCAATTAAATGACCCAATGTTTGACCAACTGTATTACATGTGGAAGCCCATCCTAAGTTTTTCCTAAAATAGGAGAAGCAGAATCAAACAAAAAAATTCAAGTCGCAATTAGAAAGTTTGATATATGCAATATAAAACAATATTTATTTTTAGGGATCTAATAAAAACAACCATATGAATTAAGACTGACTACCAAAGGGACCGTTAAAAGTTATAAGTACGCTACATTAACCGTCACTCGGGAAACACGTAGAGAGTATTGGGACGAGGAATTCGAGATCTCACAGTGAGCACAACGCAGTTTACCTACTTTGTCAGAATTTTTATTTTCAAACTTCCCATCTATTGGATACTACAGGTATGTACATTTTGTCGCTGCAAACAGATAAACTATAAACCACAACTTAGCACTGAAGCTCCATCACTGAATATTAAATTTTTAGTCAGGGAAATTGATTATGAACATAGTGGTCTCAAGTGCTGTTAGAGGTATGAGCAGTTATCACTTTCCGGTTGCACACACCAAGGGAGGGTTCTTCTAGAAGTGCCCGAAAAAGAAATTGGGTTAAAGTCGGTTTTATTGACTTGAGATCGTGACCGCGGTGCCCATAGTACAACTTCTTGAGGCTCGTCACACACAACCTTTTTGTGGGTACTTGTCTAGACCCTACCGTCGGAGACGAATATCCGTAGGATGAGGCGAGATATGCATTTTCAGGGTCGACCTTCTCTAATCCAACCTTTTCATTGTAGGAAGGCAGCATCGCTGTTATGCTAGTTGTCTGAGGGAAGCACCTTACTGCCACCACACCTCTGTAGAGTCAGCAGTAGGACTTCACCCTCGAACCTTAGGTTCACTTCTTTTAGTCTTGCTCCTCTCCAATCGACCTGTCCGGTATGTTAGGAACTTGAGTAACGATTGTTCCAACCAATATAGCCCGACTGGTTTATCACGATATGCAAGCCCGACCACCACGTGAAGGTGGCAGCAACGGTCGGGATTAAATTTTTAAGTAAGATTACATCGAGATGTCGGAAAGATGGAGAATGACATTTATTGCTAACAATTTATAACGTGGAAGAAAACCATCAAGTTTGCTAATTAGGTCCTAAACTTATTGACTTACGAGTAATCTACGAAATTCGCGCTTTAAATTATTTGTAATTAAAAATACTTCTGTTTGATACTTCATAAATATGTACGTTATTTTAATAGAAAAAACTGTTTCTTAGCTTGTTGTTACAAATCTTTATATTAGCTATTTGTGCCGATAGCTTAGTCACATAAGTCGTTTACAAAATAACGTTATTAAATGATTAACATTCTATTTCAAAAATCGGCAACTAAGATAAAGCCATAATCAAAATCTGTTTACAACGCTTAACTAATACAAGTGTGAATTAATGTAAACTCTTTGGACAGATAGCTGTGTATCTTTCTCAGACTTCAGTTGCATAGCTCATTAATTTCTTTTAGAATTAAATATTACAACTATTTACATAGCTAATCACATATCAGTGACTTTAGACTCGATCGGCTTCAAGTATAACTTTGACCATGCAAGCGATCATTGATGAAAAGTCGCTGGCAGTTTTCAAAAATTCCTATGTCAATAAGTGTGAAATTTATATTCCCTAATACACACAAATACTGGTTAACTGAAAACCGAAATAAATAGGCGTAGCACAAATAAGGGATTAAAATTGTGAACAGATAGAGGGAGTATAATCTAGAACAAAGAGCTAAAGAGAAATAAGTGAATGAGAGTATTTGTCCCTTTGCTACAATGCAATTAGAGTCAATATTTAACTCAATATCGAAACACTCTCATTGGATATTATGTACTCTCTCAACCGTATGACCAATATGTTTTATGTAGGATACATGGAATGTGTCTAGCAGTGGAAACCAAGACGTTCGTTTCTTCCTATTTGAGACTGGTCAGTTGCATGTAACTGGATCCAAGAGCTAATACTCACTTCAGGCCTCAAACGCCACTGCGTTATCCACTTAGCTACTGAATCCAGATAACCACTCACTTGTGCAATGGGTATGAGTTTTAATTCAGTTTGAAATGAATTGGATTAGTCTCTTACTGAAATCCGGCTGACAAGTCCTGAATAGGACGGAACACGAATCCTGGGTTTCCCTGCTAGTCATACTCCATCCATTCTATACTACATTGTGCTCCAATGGCAATCTGCACAGGATGCCCACATCCCAACCAAGGTTGATCAAATTTTGGGATAATTCAGGTCATTTCAAATCAATGTCTCATTTCTTTTACAAATGATCACACTGGTTATTATGATTACCTTTTCTTTTTTGTTCTAATTATATATATTTTAGTATACGCTTATAATGAAGAAATAATTGAAAATAAATTTTTTCCAGCTCTGTTACCTTTTCGCTAAATGTCTAAACAGGAACTTTAACTACAAAAAACTAAATATAATTCAACAGCTATTTTGATCGCTTCTTTTTCATAGATATGTCATACAATAAACTCACCTAGACAACATTGTAAGTGCCCATCCATCTACTACAATATCTTGTGTAGCTGCAAGAAAAGTAAGTCCAAAGAAAGCTACAGTCAAGCGTGAAATATCCACTGGATGCACCACACCTAATGGGCCCCATGGGTTATCAGGTGTACGCCCCAACCACTGGTTAACATAGAGCGCGATAATAAGTAGGTTAATTCCAAGAGCATATTGAACGGGAATAAGCCAAGTCTTTCGTCTACCTATACGTGAACTGTACAACGAGTCTACTATTGGAGCCCAAGCTAATTTAAGTGAAAATGGCCAAAATGCAAACGAGAAAGCTGCTTGTGATTGGTAATTAGCCGATTTTGGATCTGATTGTAATAAGTAAGGGACTGCAGACGACAGTCCAAGAGGAATGCCCTAAAAATGAGATAAATCGCACCAAAAAGATATTTAATTAGTTCTAAAATCTATATCAGATGATCAGTTAAAACCAATGACATGAGAAATATTGACCATAAAAATGTAAAGGCAAGCAAACACTAGCAGTCCGTTGCTGAGATTTAAGGTACTATAACGTCAGTCTCGACCCTTCTACAGACCAGACATGAAAAAAGGAGGTAGCTACAAGACCGCACAAGCTATTAGTAAATTCAAAAGTCAACATGGTATCTCAGTTAGACCTTAAAAATACTTTGAAACTTCCCTGTACACGCTTTATGAACTAAGAAGTGAATATGTTTAGGCAAATGAGAAACACGTTTTAACGACTTTGGTCAGAATATATCTATATACTTTGAATTGTCTAGTTCAGTTCAGTGACGCTTAGGAGACGCTTCAAAACAAAATAAGTGATGCGCTTAGCTAACCGAACACTATGATAGTATATGAAATCCGATGACTCGAAATAGTGACTTATCGAACATGTTTACGGAGAAGTTAAGCAGACCTAAAATGTGTTAACTGACACACTAATTCCGGACATTTACAGCAAACTATTCTTCGTTTGGGTTCATTTTTCGGTCGATGGATGTTAATTGTCAAGCGGACTGGACAAAAACTGTTTGCTGACAAATATGAAACTTGAGGGCCTAATAGACTACGGAACCAGGACAAAAATACACTGATTTGTCTGAATCATATGAGTACTGGGGCAACGTAATCTGATGCACCCCTGAATAATTTATCAAGCGCTTACCGATTGTACAGTTTTGAGTCTTTTCTGTGCATAAACTAATGAGACTTATATACACGCTCTAAAATCTAAATGATTACTTCGAACTTGATCTGCTGCTGCTACAGTGCGCTTAAAGTATAATCCTAAAACCTTTGATAGTTGGCCTTTTAGTGTTTTGTTAATAACGGCGATTCCGTTTAGTAGAGTAATTGGCTTCAGAAATTATAAAAAATTAGTTGAGACCACGTATACTGGAAGTTAGATTTTGATCAAAAAAATCTGAAAAACTACACTTAAACCTTAATTTACATAATAATCAATATTTTGAATACTCAAGTATGCTAAGAACGTTTTAAATAATCAAAAAAACCCACTTGCAAAATGTAGAGAAATATGAGAAGACAAATATTACAAAAGTCTGAAGGTTCTTTATCAAACTTTCCGTCAATATAACCTTGATTTGCAGATGGGTCAGTTATAACAAGTGATGATTTCTTCTTGGCCATTTTCAAAAGAAAATTAATCGACGACTTCGATCTATGTATTTCTTGTGTTACTTAAAAGGTCGTGGAACAAATATGAAACCTAGTTTTCGAGAGGATTGACATCTACCTCAAAGACGCCGAGGTGTAAGATCAGTGATACTCCACTCGATGAGGATGGAAGGCTAAAATAGAAAACATGGTAGTAGAACATCAGTTGGTAGTGGACAAATCGGAAGTTAAGAAAATTAAGCAATAAGGAATATGGAGAGCTTGGTGTTTTACACTTATTGTACTGCTACTCTTGATGAACAGTCATTCTTCTACAACTGATGAGTAAGTTAGCGGGATATTTGTTGTGCGTTGGCGGGTTAAGATGAAGAAAATCCGCTCTATCTCGAAATGTTCTCATATGGTTATGTGTTTATGCTCACTACCACAGAAGCCAAAATCGATATTTACATGCAGCAGAGGCGTTGTTTACAGAAATAAGGGGACGAAAAACGAATGTCGGGCGTTTACATCGGGTTAGTGGAGTACGGAGGCGTCGGAATACCTTGATTCCAAGCCAATAGTGCTCATGAACTCTAGGGTCATGAAGGAAAAATGACATATATATTTAACTTTAGCCACCAGCTGCCACAAGACACTTCCGAACGTTGCTCCACTGCCTTATGGATTGGACCTCTAAGTCCAAACTCGAGAGGCGGTATTTGTAAGAAAACCACACGTTTCAATTAGGGAGGTTACGTAGTATTTCAGATGACTCACAAATATGACAACCGGAAATTGTGAAAATGATATTTGGATCTGCTTCCTCAGTGGCGAAAATGATAATTTACTTAGATTTGATTTTAATGTATTTTTAAGCCGAAAACAAAAGATAAAAAGCTGAGCACAATAGTAAAAATTAACCCTGTCTTTCCAGGTTTTCATTAGCTGACAAACAAACCTTGTGGTACGTACCACAAAGTAATTAGTGGTACAATGTACATTATACCACTGATAAGCTGCTGATGTAGTTCCACATGACGACAGAATACACCCTTCACACAGCAAAGTCTAATGCTGCAAATCTTAATAACACAAGAGAAAATACTCACATCAACAGTCTGACAAATCGGATGAGATAGGTGGTACGAATAGGACGGCAACAACGCGGACGAAGAACAGTAGAGACCAGCTCAAATCTCCCACGTTCGTTAAAACAACCTTGAGCACAGTTTTAGTGTTGAAGGAACACATGTTTGTCTTGCTTGCTTTGACAATGATGGTCTCTCAAATGATCCAGTTTTTATTAGAATGCGTCGAAACACTGATATTTATTCGTGTATCAAAGTAACGAGTTTCATTCACAGAGGAGGACTTTGGAGGACGACTTTGGTAAGGCTCAAGTGTTCTCGAACTTCCTGTCAGCGCATACAATCCCCCCACACATACACTGGATGGCGTGACCATTAAAGAACTCGATGTCTTTGGTCTGCTAAATAGACCTGACATAGGTAAGTCCATGGGGCCCGATCAATTGCATCTTAGGCTACTGAAGGAATTATCTAACTTCGTTGAGAACCCTTTAAGTATATGCTTTAAATTATCCGTAACGCAAGATCGTTTACCAAAAGACTGGAAGAACGCCATAGTAAGTTCCATCTTCAAAACAGATACGAAATATAAACCTGACAATTACCGACCAGTTAGCCTAACTAGTGTGGTGGTTAAAATCTTAGAAAAGATTATTCGGAAGGAGCTGTTTAAGTACCTCGATGAAAACCGAATTCTTTCGCAGAAGCAGCACGGTTTCAGAGTAGTTTATTCTTGTCTCATTAACTTATTAGTCGCTCGTGAAAGCTGGTGCGCTCTTAAGGACCAAAAGTTACATGTAGACGAAGTCTACATTGATTTCAGCAAAGCATTTGACAAAGTTCCGAACAACCGGCAGTTATATAAGGCAACAAATGTCGGAATTAGAGGCAATCTTTTGATGTAGATAAAAGACTTCCTGGTCGGGCGCCAACAAAGAGTACGGGTGAACTCAAAGTTATCTAGCTGGGAAACTGTGCTTAGTATAGTGCCCCAGGGTATATCTTTGGGGCCAGTGCTATTCCTCTCTTATGTAAATGACCTTCCTCGCCTCCTATCATCGGTCTTGCTATATGCTGACGACGTCAAGATATGGAGAAAGATACGACGCAAGGGTGATAGCTTAGAATTCCAAAACAACCTGAAGAAAATATCTGAATGGTCTCAAAGCTGGCAGTTGCCGATAAATGCTTCCAAGTTTGTTGTGATGCATATCGGTCATCAAGGTACAGATACATACACGATGAATAACGCTGAGCTACCTGTCGTCCAGACACATAATGACTTGGGAGTCATCGTTAGCCAAGACTTAAAGACTACTGCACACTGCCATGCAATAGCCGCCAAAGGTTTTAGAACCTTATGGTCAATATGTAGGGCTTTTAGTCATGTCGACGCTAAAACGGCCACTATTGTCAGGACTAACACAGACCATCAAGCCTCCTGTCCTCTCCGGACTGAAACTGAAGATCATTTCACGGAAAAGTTGGCAGTCAGATGACAAATAATTTGTCGTGGGTTACTGAACGTTTCTAACATTTTCCCGCATAACCTCTGTTTTTGAAAACTTGAAAAAAGAGAGAACGTGGCACGAAAATTTGTAAATGAGCAATTTAAGAACTGTAATCAAGTCACCTTTGATAATTCTGTATGACAAAGGAATTAGTTTGAATCTAGACTCTCTGTCACCGAATAGAAAAATAATAAGCTTTCGAAATGTTTATCGAGTGTGTATTTTACCTCCAGGTTTTTAAAGTATGAATATTGTACAGAAATGAGGATTATCTATGAGATGTCAGTCCTCATAGTTATTTGTGAAACGCCCTCCTTAATGGTTGTATTTAATTTCCATCATGATGTAGACTTGTATTGTTTATGGATGTTTTTTTATATCTAATGTTTCTGTCATGTCATTACGCGTATGTCTGTTTATTCGATTCAGTTGTAGTGAAAAATCGAAGTGTTTATTACACTTAATCTAGTTTCAGTCCTTGTACAAGAAGGATACATATTTTTAGCTTGTTAATACTCGAGTTCAGGTCAAACAAATACTGACCGATATGCATCATAACGCACTTGAAAGTAATTATCGGCAATTACCAAATTCCAGAGTATCCAGATAGATTCTGTAAGTCAATTGGAAACTCCGAACTGTCCCTTTTATTTCGTACCGCTCTTCATATCTTGATATTATCAGTACCTGCCAAGACGAATGACGGCAAGGGACTGGGAAGGTCATTTACGTGCAAGACGAAAGATATTAGTCGCGAAACTATTCTCTAGAGCACTCCACCGAGCACAGTTTCTCACTTAAACAACTTAGAGTCAACCCATACTCTTTTTTGGGATCCAACTAAAAAGTGGTATCCACAAAAGTGAGTTGCTTACTATCCTGATATCACCAAACTTGTATAACAACCTGCTGTACGGAGCTTTGTTAAAAGCCTTACTGAAATCAGTGAAGGCTACACCTACGGGTAGCTTTTGATCTTTTATAGCTCGGCAACCTTCTTGTGCGATCACTAGACATGTGGTCGTGGGTAACCTATTCTAATACTTTCTGGTTTTCATCTAGATGCTTAAACAGTTACTTGCGAGTATTGTTTTCTAGAGTCTTGACAGCTACACTGGTTAAACTAGCAGGATGATAGTTCTTGTGTTTACTCTTTGTACTCGTTTTGAAGACAGGGCATACTATGGAGTTCATTCTGTCTTTTGATAGTTCATCTTGAGTTACAGATAGACTAAATCATATACTCACAAGATTTGCAATGAGAGATGCATTTACCTTCAGTAACAGTGCCTCAGTGTTTAAGGCATTTGATTTTTGTTCACTGAGTTCTAGCTATGAGCCCCGTACCGCCTCATTTCTTCGGGGAGCCAGGTAATCAATTATCCTTCAAGCTTAGGCTGTGGTTCATACCCATTCATCTCATTGAGTCCTGTGGATTTTTATTTGGCAGACCAAAGATATCGGGTTCTTTAGTGGTCTCACTATCGAGCGTATGGACTGCAGGATTTACATATTTCTGGAAGAAAGGCGTCTCTGCTGTGTACATAATGATAAAGTAGTTCGACAATACGAGATTTAACACAGTCGTTTCACACTGGTGATTTCTTAGTACTATCTTCATGCAATACTGGGATATCGCCCCCTCTCTTCGTCATTCGACTAATGTGAGAAAACGAGTTTGGACGTTCTGTGGTGTCCTTAACAAGCTTCTCTTCACACTCCCCTCTGGAAATACGTGGGACTGAAACAATTATTTCTGGCTTTCCGATACCGAGACTTGGTTTCATCCTTACCCAGTAACATAAATCTCCTCTAAATTATTTCTTACCAATTATACCCCAGATCCATCTTTCAGCTTCTGGTTTTTGTGACATTTCTGTGGAATTATGTTCTATTTCGTATATATCTACTGTTATAATAATGTTCCTAGTCCCAAACCTTTGGATTTGTCATGATGTGGCTATCTTTCCTATAAGATCTTCCGTGGAATTCACATCCTTGTCTACACTGACGTGCATATAAGGACAATCACTATGTGGCGTTTAGCACTTCCGAGTAACACATTTTGGTTGGGGGTAATATGACATATTTAATGCAGAAAAATATGTGTTACATAAGGTTGACCTCGCCTGCATGTTTGAGCCTTGTCATGCCGATTGGTTGAATGTTATTGCGCTCGCCATTTTTTGTCTCTTAGTGTTACGTGTTTAAATTGAATGTGTGGCGTGGTGTCGAGTCGAGATTGACTATGAACACCACTACAAAGGAACGTGTGCCATCAAATCCCCCGAAAGCCAAATATCAGAAGGTAGTTAATGGACCAAGTCGAGATGTATTTGCTGGCGATCTCGTGGTGTCGAAAGAATACCGAGATCGTACCAGGATACAAGCTTGGTTACTGGGCGTAACAGGATTCGCACGAGGTCACAATCGAAGTAAGTATAATGCATGTTTTTAGCACAGTAAAACAGTCACTGGTACAATTGGTTATAATAATAATTGTCCTCATTAAACCCATCGCGTTCTCGTGATAAAAGTAAGTCACTACAACTGTTCCCAATAATTATATGTTCAGCTTCGAAGATTGTGTGGTTAGAAACCAAAACCACTACAGCCTTATAACAATCATGAAATCCTAGCTCCATTTCTTTATCATATCACTTTATCCTGAGGTCAGTGTGCAACATATTTTGGAGACCCAGTACTCCATTTATTCATTGTCCATTCAGTAGTAATTAGTCGCTTTCATTGCGAAATCTAAATGCTGCATTTAAACAGACTGATTTTATTTGATTTAAAGTCTGTCTGGTTATCTAGTCTATGAAGCTTTAGCAAGGTGACCCTGAAGATATTTGGAAACACTAGCTAGTTTGGTTGACCTTTTGGCAACTTATTGTCTCGCTCGAAGAGAGTTCCGAGCTCTCACTATCCTTGAATTTTCGGAAGATATATGGCCTGTCAGTGTGATTGTTTTCCGACTTTTAATCTACATTTGAAAGCCATACAGTAGGTTCTTTATTTGCAAAATGTCAATCAATTGTCTCAGACTTGGCTGCTCCTACGTTTCCACACCAATCATTCTCTGTTCTCGTTCTCTTTCCCTCGATCTTCTTAACGTTCTGTACCAGGCATTTCATCTTCGATTGATCCTCACCTGTGTTCTGCTTCGCTACAATGCTATTTACAAAAAAGAATAGGGAAAATGAGTCAATACTTCGCAAAACAAACATACAAGTTGTACAGACGTTGCTTGTAAAACTCAATGGTCGTGCGTTTGATAAGTCCAAAAGTAAGTCTACAATTATGAGAGAAGATTCGCAATTTTAAAATATGAAATATATTTCAAGATAATAGCGAATGATTGACCAATATAGCACTGAGAAGCATACGCTGTAAATGTATCTACCCAAACAACACAAAAAGGGGAAATAAAGGGGTAAATGCTATGGTAGCGAAAGGGGAAATAAAAGGGAAAACGCGCCAGAATGTCGCCTTTTTCGCCTGTCCGGGGGAAATAATGCGGACTTTCCCCTTTTTCGCATTTTGTCGACAAATTACGGACTTATCGCCTAAATATCCGCTGAATTATCGCATTTTCGCCTAAATATCCGCTGAATTATCGCATTTTCGCCTAAATATCCGCTGAATTGTCGCATTTTCGCCTAAATATCCGCTGAATTATCGCATTTTCGCCTAAATATCCGCTGAATTATCGCATTTTCGCCTAAATATCCGCTGAATTGTCGCATTTTCGCCTAAATATCCGCTGAATTATCGCATTTTCGCCTAAATATCCGCTGAATTGTCGCATTTTCGCCTAAATATCCGCCGAATTGCCTACTTATGCGCTTAATTGTCTACTTTTCGCCTAAATACACACATTACCTACTATTTCCTATGTTCGCCTTTATTTTCAACAACAGACCAAAATATATCTGCAATGCAGTGGAAAAACGGTAAATATTTCAAAAATTTTATTGAAAAAGAAAAGCGTATTATTATACAACAGTAGAGCACAAGCTGAAGCATCGATTGTTATGCATGTCCAATGCAATTGCTAATACATTGTTATTTGAAATTATCTGAAAAAGAAGGAACAGGTTATAATTTATTCATAAGAAATGTGCATTTAATCAATAGTTCACTGAAACTCAAACACACATTCTCAACACTTCTTTTCTCCTATTTCGTTTTATCATCTTGTCTCGGATGTCGTGAAAGTAACCTTGTGTCGCGATGTCGTAGAGCTTACCAAGGTCTTTCTCGTTGACAGAGGATGACAAAAAGCGATGAGTTAAGGCACCTGAAGTTTAAGTAATAGATATAGGTTACTTCGTATGCAGCTGTAAAACGTGCATTTCTGTAGTGCTCGTTTAGAAGAGGTGCCAAGTAACGTGAATTTACTGGCAACCTCCAGTGTCAGCAGATGCGACAGAATAAAACGCATGGACGTTTTTGGATCGTCACCTGATAACCTAGTGACCATAGCCATCTGTAATAGTAACAAATTATTAAATTCATGTCAATGACTTACAATTCTGTCCCTGGTTTCTTTCTGCGACAAACCATTATCTAGCATCTGTAGTTCCTCTTCAGATGACAAAGGGAACTGCTGACTTGACAGTCCGCAATCGAATTGATGCGGTCTTTCGCGCTCATTATACTTTGAAAGCAATTGGTTAACATTAACATTCAAGTTCGTAATGGCGGACGACATGTTGTTAATCGTTTTAGTCAAGTCATTCATAGCTGACGAAATCTTCAGCACCACAGTATACAACCTATCACAGGTGAAAAAGGTCACTAGATGATGCAGTTTACTTACTGGTCCAATACAGCGCCACCAACATGCTTACATTCCGATGTGGATGGTGATGTCTCTAATTGTGTTGAACTAAATGGTGAATATCTAAATAGTTATTAAACGTACTTGGCGATTGGAGATATCACTTTGTCGAAAACACGAAATTTGGGATATTGTACGCGGCTATTCCCAGCCTGCATCTCAGCCACATCCATGTCAACTGAATTGTAAAGAAAATCTTCTTTACGCTTCATTACACCTCTAGGAAATGTAAGTACGATTATTGTACAGACCTTTTTGGCTTCTCAGTGTTAAGTGGCAAAGTGTTTTAATCCGTTGAGGTGTTTTTCCGCTGAGATTCCAGTATCTGTATGGCAACTAACAGATCTTTTGCAGACTGCAGAGAATCTATAGTGAATTATACTTTCTGTGTATGTCACCTACCTAATTCGTGAATCACTTTACATTTCATGAGTGACCAATTTTCATTCGGTTGGTCGCACTTCTGCAGGTGTATATCGACCAGCTCGTTCGGAAGAAGGAAAAGGTCATTGCCAACTATCCAGTCCTTTGATGCTATCATAAGTTGTTTTTTTTATGACGTCAACAATAACGTATTTCTTGTTAGTGGGCTGAAAAGAACATAAGACGTAAGTAAATTATTATTATCATTATTATTCACAAACATCTTATGGGTACATAAGTGTTGTGAAGAAACCATTTCGGGTTTCTTCAAAAAATGATTTATCATCATTACTTAAACACTAATGAAACAAAATGCATTTACAATAAAGTATGTAACAATGGGATTACAACTATATAATTGATACAATCGATGGCTATACATTTACAGTCAATGTCCTGAACCGATACCCAAGTGTATTCATGGCTAACTACGGAGCACATAAAGATTCCAATATCACTAGATGGGAAAGGATCTTCAAAGTAATTGCGTGGGTCAATGAAAGTCTTAAATTTTAGTAGTCCATCCTCCTTTATGTCAGTAACTAAACCGGGCTGGCCGTTTACTACTACTACATTATCCGGTTTATATGAACTTATTTTGCTGTTGTTAAACATAATTACTTGTTTAATGGAGACATCATTAGCGCCTATTGCGGTAGTATTTGTTAAACCACTAATTTGAAGCCTATCGCTGAAGGACATTCTCTCAGCATAACGCTGTGCTGCTTGCTTAGCTACTGCAAACCCACCACGAAAGGAATCGTTAATTTGTCTCGAATGGAAAGGCTGAAAAACTATCTAAAGATCCATGTGCACGAACGTCGTCAGGGAGGTGCTGTAACGAATGCACATTGCAAACTAAGTTTTCACACCCATAAAACCATGCGTATTCATTTAGGAAGTTTAGTAAATCTAATTTGGCGGTTTCTACAACATTTTTATGTAATTTCGGATGTGCAAGCAGATACATGGATAACGCTAAACGCCGGAAATTACGATAAAAAGGTTGTGACAATGTTTTTTCAAGAATCACCGGGCCTAAATACAGAAGAAACAACCTACATTCAGAAGCTTTCCATGCCGATACAAAGTCTAGTGTACGGCATTTACGGGGAAAGTCAGAAGGAGTACTTGCCACACAACCCGTTATTAAATTATTTATGTCCCTAATTGCACATGAGTTAAAGTCGCGCAGTCTTCGGCGTGCTAAATCTATCCATAAATTAGCTAGTTTTTTGATAACACCGAGGTACACCATGTGCATAGGATCTAGAGGAAAAGTTAAAATCATATCAATCGAAAGCGTTTCCATAATAGAATGTCCTTGATGGTGAATTGATTGAGACTGACGACGGAAGGTGTCGTCTGTTCTTAAGGTATGTACTCCATTCGGAAAGGTCATTTTCCCCTCCAGCCGTCTCCCAAGTACAGTACACCTATCGCAACCTGCCTTACCGTTGTGATTTACCGTGTACCTAACAGAAGAACGAGCAGGTGCGTCACATATAACAGCCGCCAACCTAATAGCTATATATTTATTAAACTTTACACTAAAAAGACCCACGTCAGTCATTTCTTTTATTTCAGAAATTGTGTCCGCACAAA